ACTCACTCACTCACTCATTCACTCACTCATCCTATCTGTCTATCTGTCTGTCTGTTTCTCTCTCTCTCTCTCTCTCATCTATCTATCTATCTCTATCATCTACCTACCTACCTACCTACCTACCTACCTACCTACCTACCTACCGGTATCTATCTTTATCTATCTATCTATCAATGTCTATCATCTACCTACTTACCTAGCTACCAGTATCTCTCTCTCTCTCTCCCTCTCATCTATCTATCTATCTCTATCACCTACCTACCTACCTACCTACCTACCTACCTACCTACCTACCTACCTACCTATTGGTATCTATCTATCTATCTATCTATCTATCTATCTATCTATCTATCTATCTATCTATCTCTATCATCTACCTACTTACCTAGCTACCAGTATCTCTCTCTCTCTCTCCCTCTCCCTCTCTCTCTCTCTCTCTGTATGTATATATGTGTGTGTATGTATATATATACTTTGTTCTTTACACACAGTAGTTTATACACTGCTCAAACAACTAAAGGGAACACAAAACTACTGTATGTAACGAACAAAGTATTTAATAAGGCTATTTCATTCATTCAGATCTCGGATGTCTTCTGCTTGTGTTCCCTTTATTTTTTTGAGCAGTGTATATATAATCTATCTCAGCTACCTACCTACCAATCTAAGGCCCTGGATAAAATGCTTTTTTGGGGTGCGGGGTCCCCTTGCATTTCCATTCAATTACCTCCCACCTCTTTCCTTTTCTACTTCTCCCCATCTAGCTAGCTTCCTCTCACATGGCTTGTCCTCTTTAGACTTTCCCAGACAGCAGTGTTATCTCTTTCCTTTCTTTAATCTTTAACTTATAAAAATTTAGCTTGGGAAAAAGATGGGAATGCAACTGTGATGTATCTGCAGGATCCATATAATCTCAATGGTTCTCAACCTGTGGTCAGAGGGGGTCCATGAAAGCTTGAAAAAAATGTTATGATTTAAATCTTGAATTAAGTCTTGGGGGTCCGTGGCCACAAAAGATATTTAAAGGAGTCTGTGGTGAAGGAAAGAGCGGGAACCACTGACGTAATGCATCAAAATTGATCACAGTAAGCCAGCAGAAATAGGACTTCAGATATAATTGCTATTTCAGCAGGGCTTCTCTCTCTCTCTCTCTCTCTCTCTCTCTCTCTCTCTCTCTCTCTCTCTCTCTCTCTCTCTCTCTCTCTCTCTCTCTCTCTCTTTTTAGACTAACAAAAACATACATACAATACACAACATAAGCAAACTATATATTTAAATCAAGTCTTGCAACTTGAGCCTTAAGAAAGAAGAAAGTTACTTCGGTATTCTATATTTCTCTCTATATATATATCTACATCTTTCCTTATATAACAATATTTTAAGTTTATTTCTTGATTTTTGTTTCTTTAGTTGGTATTCCCTATCTTACTAATTATTTTTTATTTCATTTTCCTTTTCTCTAACCATTCATACCATCGTTGCCAAACTAGATAATACTCTGTGTCTTCCTTTTCTTGTATTTCTTTGGTAAGCCTATCCATCTCTGCACATTCCATTACTTTTTGTATTATTTTATCCTCTAATGGCGTATCTTCTAATTTCCGCATTTGCGCGAATGTGATTCTTGCTGCTGTCAGGATATGGATTATCAAATATTGTATTTCTTTTTCATAGTGATTTGTTAATATTCCTAATAGGTACTGTATGTTTCTGGTTTTAATGGCACTCTCTGGGTCGTAATTTCCTCTAATTGTTTTTGAATCATTTTCCAAAATTTTTTTGCCTTTTGGCAGGACCACCACATGTGATAGTATGTCCCTTTGTGTGATCTGCATTTCCAACAATCCTGTGTAGTGTTAGGGAACATCTTTGCCAGACATGCGGGAGGGAGATGCCACCTGTAGGGCTACTGTCTCTTAACGAATTTGCAGCCGAAAATACTGTGTAGAGAAGATAAGCTCTCCAGCTGTACCCCCTGAAATATGGGTGGTCCATTTCTCAATGGTTGCAAATGATGTCATCTTAAATATCTTTCAGGGGCCTTCGATTTGTAACTTCACTTTCCTTCTTGCTGCCTAGCTACTGTGCTGTGTGGTTTCAGCCACGACTGCTTGGCTTTAACAAGAGCAATGAATGTTTTTTTTGACTCAACAGACATCTGGCTGAAAATGGTCTCCAAAATGTTGGGTGTCCAGGACTAAGACTAAATCAACTGAACGGAAAAGTAATTCAAATCAGATGGAATTCAATAGCGTAGTTGAAAGTTTTCACCTTAATGTTTCTCCTTTCTGCCACATGATTAAAGAGTACAATTCGAGGCTAAATTAAAATTAAGGGAGGTGTTCCATGCATAGCTTGAGCATTCCAGAGAAAAGACAAAACATAAATATGCCATTTTATTATTAGAGTTATATTTCGCCTTTCCTTAGTGTGGCTTACTTGGGCATTCACTTCACTCAGTAAGATTCTATAGCTGAGAAGATGAGTTTTTGAGCTACAA